AGATTTTCTTAGTACCAACTGAGCATGGTTTAAACACCACAGCCTACCTGAGTATTGTTGCTGAGCGTGTCCATCCCTTTATGACCACAGTGTACCCATCTTCTGATGGCTACTTCCAGCAGGATAACGCACCATGTCACAAAGCTCACATCATCTCAAACATGACAATGAGTTCACCGTACTCCAAACAGAAGACTGGACTCTGAACATCGATGTTTGATGATGTCACCTGTTTGTTGTTGACAGATCTGTCTGATAAATGAACCGTGTCAGTTCAGCGTCTGTTACAGTGTCAGGTCTGTGTCTGATGTTTCAGGTGAGTCTGGAGAAGGTTCTGGGGATCAGCACAGCCAGCAGCAGCGGCCTGACCTCTGACCCCAGGTCTGGGCTCATCGCATATCCTGCAGGGTAAGCCCCGCCCCCTCTGACTCACCTGGACGGAACATAAAGAACATAACGGTGCTATGACCTGAATGGACTGTTTGTGTCTCAGGTGTGTCATCGTCCTGCTTCACCCGAAGACCAACAAACAGAGACACATCGTCAACACGTCCAGGTGAGTCTGTCAGTAAGGAGACACTGCAGAGGACAGTAAGGAGACACAGTAGACGTACTGGTGTTACTGGGACATGCAGACTGGTCCTCAAACGGTGTCTGTCTGTCTTCCAGGAAGCCCTTCAGCGCTCTGTCCTTCTCTCATGACGGGAAACACCTGGTCACTGGCGAGGTAAGAGACACCTGTGTCTGTTGTGTCTGTGTGGACACCAGGTGATGGACAGGTGAAGGACAGGTGTGTGTGTGTGTGTGTGTGTGTGTGTGTGTGTTTCAGAGTGGTCACATGCCCTGTGTGCGGGTGTGGGAGGTGGACGGGGGTCAGGTGGCCGAGGTTCAGTCTCATAAATACGGCGTTTCCTGCGTGGCGTTCTCTGCCAACAGCAGCTACATCGTCTCCGTGGGATACCAACACGACATGACCGTCAGTGTGTGGGACTGGAGGGTGAGGACGCACAGATTTAAAGTGCCTGAACTTGTCCACGTGTCCTCTGGGTAAATAACTAAAACGTCCTGATGGCGTTTTGTCCGTCTTGTCTCTGTGTCTCCGTGTCTTTGAGCAGAAAGGTTCCATCATCGCGTTCAACAAAGTGTCCAGCAGAGTCTTGGCTGTCTCCCTCTCTCAGGACAACAGCTACTTTGTCACCGCAGGAAACAGACATGTCAAATTCTGGTACCTGGACGCCTCCAAAGAACGACGGGTACCACCCTGACCTCCTATCAGCCAATCACAGCTCAGTTTACTGTCGTCTGAGTTTAATCATTTTCTCCCTGTGTCCAGGTGAACAGCACGGTGCCACTGATTGGACGGTCAGCATTATTAGGCGACTTTAAAGACAACTTGTTCAGCGGGGTGGCGTGTGGGCGTGGCCCCATGGCATCTAACACCTACTGCATCACCAGCTCAGGTGTGCTGTGTCGGTTCAACAGCCGCCGGGAGCTGGAGGCCTGGGTCGACCTCAAGGTGGGTGAGGAACGTATACCTGCACCATGTGAAATACACCTGTACCAAACACACACCTGTACCAAACACACACTTGTACCAAACACACACTTGTACCAAATGTACTCCTTTATCAAACACACATCTGTACCATTTAAAATACAACTGTACCAAACATTACCAGTTTAAAATGCACCTGCACGATCAAAAATAGACCTGCACGTAAAATACACCTGCACGATCAAAAATAGACCTGCACGTAAAATACACCTGCACGATCAAAAATAGACCTGTACGTAAAAAAAATGCGTCTGTACGATTTAAAATGCACCTGTACGATTAAAAAGACACCTGCACGATAAAAAGGCACCTGCATGATAAAAAGGGCACCTGCACAATCAAAAATAGACCTGTACGTAAAAAAATGCACCTGTATGATTTAAAAGGCACCTGTATGATTTAAAAGGCACCTGCACGATTAAAATGCACCTGTACGATTTTGAAATAGACCTGCACGTAAAATACACCTGCACAATCAAAAATAGACCTGTACGTAAAAAAATGCGCCTGTACGATTTAAAATGCACCTGTACGATCAAAAATAGACCTGCACGGTATATAAATGCACCTGTATGATTTAAAAGGCACCTGCACGATAAAAATGCACCGCTATAATCGAAAATAGATTTGCACTTTTGAAAATACACCTGTATGATTTAAAAATATACCTGTATTTAAATTGTATTGGTACAATTTTTAAGTACTCATGTAAGAAAACAAAAACACTTGCACAGTTAAAGATCACCAGTCCGATATAAATCACATGTAAGGTTAAAGATGCACCTGTATGATTAAAATACACAGGCAATAAATGAAACATCTGTGACATGTGAAATACACGTATGATTTAAAACACAACTGTGTGACTGAAATTCAGGTGTAGGGTTAAAAAACACACCAAAAACTGTAAGTTAAGGTAAATACACACAATGTACAGTGAATACAGGATTTTAATTTTTCCTGTTGCTTTTCAAAATAAGAACTCAGTGTTATTTCATAATAATAATAATAATAATAATAATAATAATAATAATAATAATAAAAAAATGTTTTATTTGTAACGCACTTTACATAAAACCAAATCTCAAAGCTACAGAGGGCAGTGTAGATGCTATGCTAAAAATTTAAAACAGACAACATGATAAAATACATCAAAAGGCTTTACTAAGTCTTAAGTTGTGTTTAAAAGCGTCCACAGTGTGCGGTGCTCTCAGGTGGTCAGGGAGAGCATTCCACAGTCTGGGAGCAGCCGAGCAGAAGGCCTGGTCTATGGTGTGGAGTCTGGTCCTGGGGAAGGTTGAGGAGGTTGGCAGTGCGGCAGGTGCGTGAGGAAGTCTGAGGAGTGAGGAGTTCTTTAAGGTAGAGTGGAGCATGTCCATGAATGCACTGATGTGTGAGGAGGGAGACCTTGTATTGAATTCTGAGTTCAATGGGCAGCCAGTGGAGTGAGTTGAGGATGGGTGTGATATGGTCATGCTTGTGTGCCTTCATCAGGATCCTAGCAGCGCTGCTCTGGACGTATTGAAGCCTCTGGATGCTTTTACTAGGGATCCCAATGAGGAGTGCATTACAGTGGTCCGGCCTGGAGGAGACAAAGGCATGGACGAGCTTTTCAGCATCTGCCAGGTTGAGTGATGGATGGAGTTTTGCAATGATCCTGAGGTGGTAAAAGGAAGTCTTGCACAGGTGTTTGATTTGGATTTCGAATGTAAGGTGGGGGTCCATTTTAATGCCGAGGTTGGTGACTGAAGTAGACGCGGATGTTCTCAGTGGAGAAAGAGATGCTGGGGAGGTGGATGATCTGACCTGGTGTAGGGTGCCATCAAGGATGGCTTCGGTCTTGGAGCTGTTAAGTTGTAAGAAATTTAGCTTCATCCACGCCTTCATCTCCTCGAGGCAGGAAGTGAGTGAGGCAGATGGCAGGAGTGCAGTAGGGGTGGGATCTGTCCGGAGGTAGGGTTGTGTGTCGTCAGCATAACAATGGAATGATATGCCATGCCTGCTGGTAACATGGCCAATATATGTTGATATGTTGATCTAAAACTAACACACCAAATGTTGTTGTTGTTGTTGTTGCTGTCAGACGTCCTCGGCGAGCTGTCTGGCGGTCAGTGAGGACTTGATGTTCTGTGGTTGTGCTGACGGAGCCGTCAGAGTGTTCAGTCCGTCTAAGATGTTGTACATCACCACGCTGTACTGCCCGCACCGCCTGGGCGTCGACCTCACCCAGAGTGTACAGCACAGGTACAGTCCTGCAAACACACTGCGTACAGAACACCTGCTGAGTAATCTGATTACTTACTGTGTCTGTTTCCACCTGCAGTCCAGGTGCTCAGTACCCCAACACGCTGGCTCTGACCTTTGACCCCATCGCCAGACACCTGACCTGTGTGTACAATGACCACAGTTTGTACGTGTGGGACGTCGGAGACGTGAGGAACGCCGGGAAGCTGTACTCTGCTCTGTACCACAGCAGCTGTGTGTGGAGCGTTGAAGTAAATCCATACTACAAATACTGCAAATACCACCAGGAATACTTCTTGTACTGCCAGATATATTTTTGATACTACATATTGGTTTATATACTGGAGTATATATATAGTAGTGTATATAAAGTGGTGCGTGTGTGTGTCTGTCTGTCTGTGTGTGTGTGTGTGTGTGTGTGTGTGTGTGTGTGTGTGTTCATGTTCGTGTGTGTGTGTGTGTTGTGTTGTGTTCAGGTGTATCCCGAGCTGTCAGATGTCTCTCAGGCCTGTCTGCCTCCATCCTCCTTCCTCACCTGTTCATCTGATAACACCATCAGGATGTGGAACACTGACCCCCCCACCGCACACAGGAACCTCTACAGCAATGTAACACCAGCATGAGTACACAAGAGTACAAGTACGCCAGTAGAGAACAAACAGTGTGTTTTAATGAGTCGTGTGTGTGTGTTTCAGGACCTGTTGAGGATTCTGTATGTGGAGGAGGACGCACAGGCCGAGGGGGAGAGGGGGGAGAGGGGGAAGGCAGCAGGGGCTGATGGGAAGTCAGGGATCAGAGTGCTGGGTGTCAGTCCTGATGGACAACACCTGGCAGCTGGAGACCGCTGTGGAAACGTGCGGTAAGAGACACATGGCGCTAGATGACACTGAAACACAACACAGCTCCTCACAAAGTGTCTCACTTGTGTCTCTGTCGCGCCGTCTGTCTGTTTGTCATTTGTCCGTCCCTTTGTCCGTCCGTCCCTCTATCTGTCCATCCCTCTGTGTTAAGGATCTTTGGTTTGGAGTTTCTGGATGAGCTGGTGAAGATTGAGGCTCATGACTCTGAGGTGTTGTGTCTTGAGTTCTCCCCGGCATCCACAGGTGAGACATCAGGTCAGAGGTCATCAGCTGGACGCGTCTTTTGTTTTTCCAAGCCACTGTAGATGAAGCCATGTCCATTTCTGTGTGATGAAAGCAGGCTGTTAGACGTACGGGCTCGGTTGTTGGCTCCCTGCTGACTGCTTACCAGTGTTGTTTAAAGAGATCACTGCTAACTAGCTAGCGCACCCATGGATTTAGCACGTGGCCCCTTTGATTCAGTCCATGCAGAAAGTTAGGTGATCTGGCGAGGAGTCGGAGTCGATCCAAACACTGAAGGTTCATCTTCGCCAAATTTGACAGAAGCTTTGAAAATACTGGCTTGGATAGATAAAGAACAGATTTTCAACCAGCTGTGTGTGTCATCATAGGGTCGGCAGGCAAAAGTCAGATGGACCTCCAGTGCAAGCTTTTTAATAATGACATAAATACTCTGAATACCACCAGGAACACCATTATATAAATACTGCCAGGAACACTTAACTCATTGTATAAATACTGCAAATACCTCTCATTCTACCTTAAATACTTCTTCTGATACTACCAGAAATACTTTGAATATCAACAGAAATTCTTCTAATACTAGCAGAAATACATCCAGTATTGCCGGAAATACTATTAATACTGCTGAATAAGGGAAGGCAGGTGGCATTTCTGTGCGCTTTGACACTGTGATGACATAGAGCTGGTTGAAAATCATCAGCTTTCAATATCTGGCAGTTTTGGTGTTGCACAAGTGGGCATGGTTTCATCTAAAGTGGGCTGGAACAACAACAGACGGTACCTGGACTGAACTCTGACCTTTGACCACAGCCTGTAAATCAGGAGTTGTAAGCAGGCTCAGTCGACTCTTAATGATGTCCTGCTCAGTTTCAGGTTTATACGAGTCAATGAAATATTTGTTTACCTGGTTTGTGTTCTTTCAGGTGTGAAGCTGTTGGCATCAGCCAGCAAGGATCGACTAATCCACGTCTTCAACCTGGAGAAGAATTACAGTCTGGAACAGACTCTGAACGACCACTCAGCCTCCATCACTGCTGTCAAGTTCACTGGTAAACACACCAGAGCTGTTTGTTCATAACTGGTTTTATTATGATACGATACCTTCAATAAGTCTGAGATCAATATGTGACGATGTCATCTGTGCATTTGTCACCATCTGTCACAGAAGTAGCTGACACTCCTTTGTTTTTTACTTCATAAAGAAACAATACATGAATAATTGTAGTTGGTGATCAGCAGTAAATTGAATTAAATAAATTAGAAGCTGATATCAAACATTCTTATTATTTCTACACACAGTTTTAAAAGATTCTATTAAAAATGCCTCTGCACCGGCGATAGCCGTGGCTCGAGTTATTTGGGTTGTCAGTCCGTCTGTCTGTTCATCCCCTTTCTTTAAATTTGATACAAATGTCCTCTTGGACTGAAGAATAAACTGATAATAATTTTGTGGTTGAAGGTCAAAGATAAAGGTCATTGTGACCTGGTTCATCACATTGTCATTAATGTGATCAATCAATTTTATTTATAAAGCCCAATATCACAAATCACAATTTGCCTCACAGGGCTTTACAGCATACGACATCCCTCTGTCCTTATGACCCTCACAGCTGATCAGGAAAAACTCCCCAAAAACCCTTTAACGGGGAAAAAACGGTAGAAATCTCAGGAAGAGCAACTGAGGAGGGATCCCTCTTCCAGGACGGACAGACGTGCAATAGATGTCGTACAGAACAGATCAACATGATAAATTAACAGTAATCCATATGACACAATGAGACAGAGAGAGACAGAGAGAGAGAGAGACAGAGAGAGAGATGTAGGTAATGACAGTAGCTGACAACAACATTAATGAAAGTAATAATATTATAATTCTGGCTGTTGTGGTACAATATGTTGAAAGTATGTATTAATATCTGATAGTGTAGTGATAGAACTTGACCATTTAGAGCTTTATAAGTTAACAGTAGGATTTTAAATTCAATTCTGGATTTTACAGGGAGCCAGTGCAGAGAAGCTAAAACAGGAGAAATATGATCTTGTTTCTTAGTTCCTGTTAGTACACGTGCTGCTGCATTCTGAATTAGCTGGAGAGTTTTTAAGGACTTACTAGAGCTACCTGATAATAGAGAGTTACAGTAATCCAGCCTTGAGGTAACAAAAGCTTGGACCAATTTTTCTGCATCTTTTCGGGTCAGGATAGGCCTAATTTTCACAATATTACGCAGATGAAAAAATGCAGTCTGTGAGGTTTGTTTTAAATGAGAATTAAAAGACAAATCTTGATCAAATATTACTCCGAGGTTTCTTACGGTAGTGCTAGAGGCCAGAGCAATGCCATCTAGAGAAACTATGTCATCAGATAAAGAGTCTCTGAGTTGTTTGGGGCCAAGAACAATAACTTCAGTTTTGTCTGAATTTAACATCAGGAAATTGGTGCTCATCCAGGTTTTTATGTCTTTAAGGCATTTATGGAGTTTAGTTAATTGATTACTTTCTTCTGGCTTCATAGATAAATACAACTGAGTATCATCTGCATAACAATGGAAATTTATAGAGAAGAAGTTCCTGGGAGAATTTCCTCAAATTTGGCACAAACCTTCACTTGGACTCGAGGATGAACTGATAACAAATTGGTGGTCAGAGGTCACTGTGACCTTGTGTCCATCTCATTCTTTAAACGTGATATCTCAAGAAGACCCTGAGGGAACTTCGTTAAATTTGGCACAAACATCCACTTGGATTAACAGTAAACTTATTAGAAGTCTTATTTTATGAGTCTTAAATAAAGGTTTGAAAAGAGATGAAGAGGAATTTGGGGGTCAAAGGGCACTGTGACCTCACAAAACATATTTTCGGCCGTAATTCAAGAATTCATACACTGATTACGACAATCTCACACACAAGTCTAACAGCATAAATATAATTCTGGTTTTAAATTTGAAACTCAAATTACTGGTTGGATAACAGACATAGCTCATTTTGACAGGGTCTCACCGTCACTTCCTGTAAAGTCTTACCTGTGTGTGTTCCAGGTGAGAGTCCAGAGGTCCGAATGGTGAGCTGTGGAGCCGACAAAAGCATCTACTTCCAGACAGCTGAGCAGGTCTGAACACGCTAATATGTACAGTCATATGGACGACGTTCTGTCGGGGCGTCTCGGGTTGTTTCATTCATTCAGCTACAAACTGCTGATGGTAAAACTCCTCTGTGTTATGATGTCACGTCCAGACGGCGGAGGGTCTGGAGTTCTCCAGGAGTCACCACGTGGTGGAGAAGACGATGCTGTACGACATGGACCTGGACTCATCAAGGACGCACGTCGCCATCGCCTGTCAGGACCGAAATGTCAGGTAAGACATCAGTAAGAAAACAAGACGGAGTAACATCGTGTAACTATGGGCTGAGGACTAAAGCAGATTTGTTTTCAGGGTTTACAGCGTGGAAATGGGGAAACTGAAGAAGTGTTTGAAAGGCTCGTCCATTGACAAAGGAGCTCTGCTAAAGGTCAGGACACGTATTGATTATTGATGTTTATCAACCAGCCTATCAGATGAGTTCTGGTCTCATGTCGCAGAGTTATAACATATGACCCTCTGCCGATGTGTCTTCACTCTGTCATGTGATTGGCCGATGCTCTGCAGCTTCAGATGGATCCGTCGGGGTCGTTCTTCGCCACGAGCTGCTCTGATAAAAGCATCACCATCTTTGACTACGAGTCAGGAGAGTGTGTCTCCACACTGTCTGGACACTCTGGTGAGTAAATCCAACAACATGTTTGTTTTTAAAGCAACAGACACTGTGTGATGTCCACGGCTGGAGGACGTGTGTTTTCACGTTGTCCGTTTGTCCTTCCATCTCATTCTTGTCAACACGATATCTCAAGAAGGCCCTGAGGGAGTTTCCTCAAATTTGGCGCAAGTGTCCTGTCAGAGTCAAGAACAAACTGATTATAATTTGGTGGTCAGAGGTCAAGGTCATTGTGACCTTGTGTTGGTCTCAGTTGTGTGAATGCAATATTTTAGGACGGACTTGAGGAAACTTCCTCAAATTTTGCACAAATGTCCCCTTGGATTCAAGGATTGACTGATTAGAATTTGGTGGTCAGCGGTCACTGTGACCATGTACGCATCTCATTGTTTGAAAGTGATATCTCAAAAAGACCTAATAGAAAATTCCTTAAATTTGGCATATTGGTGGTCAAAGGTCACCATCTTTGTGACCTGGTTCATCTCATTCTCGTTAATGCAATATCTCAAAAAGGTCCCGAGGGAATTTCCTCAAATTTGGCACCAATGTCCGATTGGACTCTATGATAATCTGATCAGATTTTTGGGTCAAAGGTCAAGAATGGTGTCAAGATGGCGCCACGGTAGGCTTCTTCTGTGTTTTGGTGCGCATGGTTTTCCTTTGTTTATAAACCCTGTTTTTTGCGCCAGTTCCCGATTCTCTTTCACCAGAGAAGAGCTTATGAACATCAGGGGAACAACTCCAGCGTTTTTCCCCCCACTTTTCTCGAGCCTTCAGTGGATTTATTGGGCTTTTTGGCCAAAGGTGCCCTCACCTTTGCTCATGCAGTGAAACGCCGGAGGAGGGGGAAACGTGCCGGTGTGCTTGTGTGTCTCTGCCATCGCAGACGCCACACACCGCTGCCAGATATATTTCTTTCCAACGTGCGTTCGCTTGCTAACAAACTGGATGAACTTCAGCTACTGATGGTGAAAAACAGAGACCTCTCTACATCTGCAGTTTTGTGCTTCACGGAGACATGGCTGTGTGGATCAATACCGGACTCTGCGCTGCAGCTGGCAGGCTTCCAACTCTTAAGAGCGGATTGTAACACGGAACTCTCCGGCAAAACTAAAGGTGGAGGTATCTGTTTTTACACTAACAGTGGCTGGTGTAATGACGTGACAGTGATCCAGCAGCACTGCTTTCCTGATCTGGAATATTTTTTCATCCACTGCAAACCTTTTCACTCCCCCCGTGAGTTTGCTCCATTCATTCTGGTCGGTGTTTACATCCCATCGCAGGCCATTGTGCAGGAGGCACAGCGCACGCTCGCTGACCAGATACTGTGTGTGGAGCGGATTTACCCAGACTCCTTAGTTATTGTCCTTGGCGACTTTAACAAAGGTAACCTCACACATGAACTCCCCAAATACAAACAGTTTATAAAACGTCTGACCAGCGAGAAGAATATCCTGGATCACTGTTACACAACTGTTAACAAAGCCTATCACGCCGTCCCCCACGCCGCACTGGGCCACTCTGACCACGCCACCGTCCACCTGATTCCCTCATACAGGCAGAAGTTAAAGCTCTGTAAACCTGTTGTGAGGTCATCTAAGAAGTGGAGCAGTGATGCTGTGGAGGCTCTTCAGGCGTGTTTGGACACCACTGACTGGGATGTTTTCAGGACCTCCACCAGTTGTCTGGATGAGTACACAGAGGCTGTGACATCATACATCAGCTTCTGTGAGGACCGCTGAATACCATCACACACCACGGTGAGGTATAACAATGACAAACCCTGGTTTAGTCCTAAACTCAGACAGCTGAGGTGGCTGACGGAAGAGGCGTTCAGGAGTCGGGACAAGGAGATGTTTAAAGAGTCAAAGCACAGGTTTAGTGTATTATGCAATATCTCAAGAAGGTCATAGAAGATGTCCTTGAAGGAGTTTCCTCAAACGTGGCACAGACGTCCACTTAGAGTCAAGAACAAACTGATTTTAATTTGGAAGTTAAAAGTCAAGGTCACTGTGACCTTGCGGTCGTCTCATGTCTGTGAACACAATATTTCAGTCCCTCAAATTTGGCACAAACATCCACTAGGACTCAACGATAAACTGATAAGGATTTGGTCAAAGATTCTCTCAGGTCCTTCTCTTTCCTCTTCAGATGTTGATTCACCTTTGTTTGTTTGTGTCCTCAGAGATCGTCACCTGTATGAGGTTCACTCAGGACTGCAGACACCTCATCACCGTGTCCGGAGACAGGTAAACTGTACAGGTGTCAGAATCGCAGCTCATCTTCAGCTCAGTCCATGTTTTACTGCCGCAGAGATAAAGATGGTGTTGTCATCAAACTGTGCAGCACAAAGTGTCACATGACCACAGGAAACAGGAAAAATACTGTGATCGTCACTGTTCCTGAAGAGGTAGAAAACCTACAACTCCCAGAATGCACTGTGTGACACCGAACCAATAAACACACCCACTGCTGGGTGATGTAATGCGTGTGTGGCTGTTTTAATGCCTCTGCAGCAGCGATTGCCGAGGACCGACATATTTTCAGGTCATCTGTCAGTTCATCCTATTTTCCCAAATGTGATATTTTAAGGACACCTCAAAAACACCTTTGAGGAAATTTCTTCATATTTAGCACAAATGTCCACTTGGAGTCAAGAATGAACCAGTTAAATTGTGGTGGTCAAAGCTCAAGGTCGCTGTGACCTTGCATCCATCTCATGCTCGTCAACTCAATATCTCAAGAACAGCTTGAAGGAATTTCTTCAAATTTGGTACAAATGTCCACCTGAAAGAATAAACTGATAAGAAATTGATGGTTGAAGGTCGAAGTAAGTAGTTTTTATGCCTCAGACAATATGTTTTTGGGTTGTCCATACTTAAGTACATGTACGTATGTATGTACATCCGTCCTATTCTTGTGAACACAATATCTCAACTAGGGATGCACCGAAATGAAAATTTGTGGCCGAAGCTGAATAATATTAAACGCTTGGCCGAATACCGAATATCATTGTTTAGTTTTTCATTAGTTTTTGCAGATGAATCCTCCAGATTAGTGTTGTCACGGTACCAAAATTGGGACCCACTGTACGATACCAGTGAAAGTATCATGGTTCTGAGTAGTATCAGGATACCACAGCAAAAATGAGGCAGATGTGCCTTTTGTCATTTATAAAAAGATAAATCACTTTTCTATAATACATCAATGATATTTCAATGGAATAAATTACTTATTGACTTATTCATACTTCAGAAACAGCATCAATAAGTGATTAACATAGGGGGGATCAAAATAAAATAAATAAATAGAATAAGAATCAACCAGCCACCCTCCTCC